TGGCATGATCTCGGCTCACAGCAACCTCTGCCCCCTGGATTCAAGCGATTCTTCTGTCTCAGCCTCCCGAGTAGCTGGGATTACAGGCACGCACCACCACGCCTGGCTAATTTTTTGTCTCTTTAGTAGAGATGAGGTTTCACCATGTTGACCAGGGTGGTCTTGAACTCCTGACCCTGTGATCCTTCTGCCTCGGCCTCCCAAAATGCTGGGATTACAGGCGTGAGCCACTGCATCTGGCCTCTCTTTTTAAAACAGAGACTGTGTTTCACCATGTTGACCAGGCTGGTCTCTAACTCCTGAGCTCAAGCAGTCCACCTGCCTCAGCCTCCCAAAGTGCTGGGATTACAGGTGTGAGCCACCATGCCTGGCCCAGTTTGAATTTATCATCATGGGGAGAATTGAATCTGAATATTTGGGTTGTATATTAGCATTATTTAAGACGTAAGTTAAAGTTGCTGTAACAGATTCGAATATGGTGTTTCAAATAAGAAACTTGAGTTGTCTTACTCTCTTTTTTTTTTTTTTTGAGACGGAGTCTCGCTGTGTGGCCCAGGCTGGAGTGCAGTGGCCCGATCTCGGCTCACTGCAAGCTCCACCTCCCAGGTTCACGCCATTCTCCTGCCTCAACCTCCGAGTAGCTGGGCCTACAGGCGCCCGCCACCACGCCCGGCTAGTTTTTTATATTTTTTTTTTAGTGGAGACGGGGTTTCACCATGTTAGCCAGGATGGTCTCGATCTCCTGACCTCGTGATCCACCTGCCTCGGCCTCCCAAAGTGCTGCGCCCGGCCGTCTTACTCTCTCTTAAAGGTAGGGGGTGGCCTCCAGGGACTCTGGCTGCCATGCCTCATCAGCACTATGGGGAGGGGAGAGAGCGGACAGCATGTACACATCACTTCCCTTCTCGCCTCAGCTTGGTCACAAAGCCACCTCAGTTAAGGGAACACTAGGAAGTGTCATTTGTGGGGCAATCATTAGTAATTTGATGGGATTTCTAACACTAAAAGGAAGAAGGAAACAGGAAGGCTGGGGAACCACAGCGGCCACCCAAGTGTCCAGTGGACCTTTTATCCCACACATGGGGATGTGCCAGTTTGGGTCCAGATCACTGCGATAAAGTGAATAGCAAAACAAAGCAAGTCACAGGAACTTTTTAGTTTCCCAGTGTATGTAAAAGTTAACGTTTAAGCTATGCTGTGGTCACTATTAAGTATGCAATAGCATTATGTCTTAAAAAATGTAAATAATTTAAAGATATTTTATTGCTAAAAGATGATCATCTGAGCCTTAAGTTGTAATCATTTTGCTGGTGGAGGGTCTTGCCTCTCTTGATGTCCCTCCACCTCCTGGGTTCAA